CCTTTCACTGCTAATTATTTTTAAGCTATACAAGTAACTCGTTCCACAGACGAACAGGAAAAAGTGTCTTTCTGAGGAGGATAATCTACGGCTAATGCAAACTACAATTAATAAAATACTATTAGTTCTTCTTGATGAGTGATGTTTTGTCATACAGATAATTCGGTTCTTTTCTGAAAAGTTGAAAGCGGGAAATATAAGCACTATTTAAGATGTTTAGAGAGTATTCAGGCCGTATCGACTATTGCTAATCAGCCCGAGACTCTCTTTCTCAGTCACAGGGCATTACCCAACCGCTAACATCACTTTCCCTGCAATCAACACATCGAAGTTGTCAGTTTCCAAGCGGCTAGTCGACAATTACGCATTCACATTCATACGACTGGCATACTGACACGCGTTGATTGATTATACAGCAGCCGGTGCCAACGAGATACAATTAAAAGCACAGCTTTCACTCTAATGCAACGCCGGCAGCTGCAACAATAATAACGATAACAACTAATTACTTTCACTGACTTGATATGGCCTGGCGGCTTGCCTGGACTGGCCTGCACTGGACTGTACTGGCCTAGTCATTGCCGTCAGGTCGATCGTCAAGTCAACTTGCAAATAAGCAGTACGAGTGGTAAGGAATCGAGCAGTCAGAGGCGGCGTTATCATGAAGCCATAGGTTAATATGGCAATTAGCCAACAACGAAACCAAAGCAAAACCAGAAAAGAAAGCAGCCACGCCGCTACCAATTAAAGGCCCCCGGATAGACTCATAACTTTCCAATGAGATTAAGGTCGACCTGCTGCCTGCCAGATTGCGTCTAAACAAAATCGACAGATTCTAAGCATACTCGTATTGCAATGCGTACTCGAACAAACAAATAATTATGTTGTTGTTGTGGCCATCAGAATGCGTTGGGAATACACACACACACACACACACACACACACACACAGGCACACTCATGCGTGTGTACCTAGCCCTGGGCTGGGACCAGGTCAGAACGGATGCTGACCACACAAAAGAAACCACAAACTTATGAAAGCACGCTCGCTTGGTGCTGGGCACGAATTTCAACAGGTTCACGCCTTGGAAATAAAAACAGAAACCGCCGGCTGAACAACAGCTTGCTATCAAAAATCGGAGAGCAACAACAACAACAACAGCAACAACAACAAGGCATTTCATGTAATTTTCGAGTGTAGAAAAAAGAAAAGTAATTGGTTGGGGCAGTGCGAAGCGGCGCTCGCCAAAGAAGTCGCCGCAAATCCAAGCCGCGCTAGTCATCCAGTCATCCAGTCAATCAGTTAGTCAGTCAGTCGCCGCATACTCTTACTATATAAGAGACAGGGGCAGAGACAGGGGCAGAGACAGGGGCAGGGGCAAGAAACAAGTCGAAATCGAAGGCTGGCCGAGGCAGCCGCTCGACTTGTAAGTGGTACATCAAATTTGAACAGTTTTTCAAGTGTTTATGATGTTTCTTGGGGAGGCTGGGACTCAGGGACTGGTGAATTGGTGTGATTATCGCAAGTAAACTATCTCTCTGGCCTGGACCTGGTGCTGTCCGGCCAGGCTGCCCAACTATCTGTCTGTCCGTCTGCCAGCCTCTTCGTTGGCCAGTCAGTGACGATGAAGATGACGACGGACGTAGCTGTCGGTTTTTCGTTTTATGAAGATGAATTTATTTCTTATTCGAGATTTATAAGCTTCTCCGGCTGCTCTGCTTGCTTTGTTGTTGAGCTTCGGCGCTGCTGGAGCTCCAATTACTTGAGGTATTGCTGATTATTGTGTGGATGCTGCATGTAGTTTTATGAGTTCCTGTTACTGCTATATCGATGAGATTTTGCCAAATCAATGAATGACTACCAATTGAGGCTGTACAAGTATGTATGGTACACACTCGTACTCTTATTCGTATGCGTACTTTGTTCTTTGTGTGGAGCCGCCGTCATGCAGAATGAGCAAATAGCTCGCATTTTGCTACGCCACCTAATAACTTCTCAAATCATATTTGTGTAATTCCATGGTCGCATTCAACCATCTAGTTCGCAGCGTTTTTACTGCTTGAGTGCCCTCGCAGCACCTGTTATCTCGGCTACTGGAGATGAGAGAACCCACTAAGCCAGTTTATCGCTGCGTGCTGATCAAAAGATTCCACAGCGACAACGACACAATTTACATAGAATTCACATCAAAAATATACATTTTCGTCAATAAATAACTGCCTCCTCATCTCTATACTAGACTACAAGTATACTATTTATGTATTATACTATTGCAGTATATGTATCTCTTTCGACGAATCTGAAGACGGCATAAATCACAGAGTGTGCCGCATTAGAGACAACTAGTTTGTGATCTCGCGCAAAAGATCTTTCCACAACTGGAACTGCACATAAATTCAAATTAGATAAAAATAAGATTTGCCGCACAGGTGATTTAGTACTTGGAATCAAAATATAGAAACGGAGCCAGCAACAACCACAACCAGCAGGTCGCAGGTGTTCCACTATTGAGCTCATATGAAAACGAGTTTGGCGTGGCTTTCTTGATTTCTATTGTACGAATACGAGTACGAGTATGTGTGTTTTTTAGTTTTGGCCTGCTTTGCTTCGACTGGCATATTTGCCTGCTAATTTGTTGTTATTTATGTGGCCGTGTCTGCGCCACAAAACACAGCCAAACAATGGCCAAGTTAATATGATTCTGGCTCGGCATGCCCGCCTGAGTAAGCTGTGTAGCAGAGACTATTGTTGTTCGCTCGACAGAATGGCAGTCACATGCTACGCATTCTGAAATATAATATTTAAACGAATATTTATTTAATAAACAAATTGTTGGCACGGCTTATTGACTCAACTGAGTGTGGCTGCAAAGTAGAAAACGCCTTTGGGGTTCCTCCATAACTAGAGTATTGGGAGCTTTTAGAAACCCCTCAACTCAAGTCCATACTCTGACAATACTATACTTGGTGGAGAATTTAACAACTGCGGAATTAAACTCGCAGAGATTAAAGACCGGTTTATTCTAATCTCTAAAGAAATTTGTCTTCTTGGACAAGAGAAGGTCATGCGACATCATTCTATTGTTTGGGAATGCGCTTTTCAGCAATTACGCTGCAGTTCAAGAAGAAGCAACTGTCTAATTCACTCTCTGGCTCTTTAAGTACCTCTTCAGAAATGCGATTTCTACAAAATAGGTTTTTATTATATTATATTTATACGTATTATCCATCTGTCTAATTGAGCTTATTACTCAGAAGAAGGCCGAATAAACGTTAAAAAGCTTGTTTTTGCGGTTCTCTGAGTGCTTTGAAAAGTGGTTCATGCGAATACAAAAGAATATTGATCTGAATGAAAGGAGATAATACATATATTTTCGATTAAATATCCTTGTTTTGGTTCTTTTTCTCGAAATATAGAAAGGCAGCCCTCGTATAATTCAGCAACGAATTTTGTTTTCTGTAACATTCGATCTTGCTTTTCTCAAGTTTTCTTATGACTTCGGTCAATTGAAGAATTAAGTTTTCTTCGGTCTATTGTTCTTCTTGTCTCTACTTTTCTCAGTTTTGTCGCCATGCGAAGCAGAGTTTTCCATTCCAGCTTTTTTGCATCGCGCTACGCTTGTTTCCCATTTTTTTTTTCACCGACAACTTTATGGCCACATGTCGACGGCGTCAACGTCAGAAACGAAACAAAAAATGTACGTCATAAACAAAAAAAATTGTTGCTTAAATTTTTGCGTTTTTTCGCGACTTACTTTATGTTGACGCGCATGTGTGAAAAAAGCAGGCGGTTGAGAGTTGTCGTTGTTATACCCTATAGCCGCTGCGTAGAAGGAGTATATCGAGTTATTGCAAATGTTTGCAACATTCGAAGCGTTTTCGGCCTCACAGAGTATGACGAGTATATAAGTTGTAAGTGAATACTCTCTCTTATTTCCGTCTACTTTATACCCTGCAGCCGCTGGGTGAAAAGGGTACATTAAGTTTTTGTAAATGCTCGTAACATATCAAGCGTTTTCGGTCCCATAGAGTCTGACAAGTATATATTATAGCTCTTAATTCCGTCTTTCTCAGCTACAGAGTTTTGCCGAAACTGTCCACAGTTACAAGAATATAATTTCAAGCGTAATTCTAACTTTTATTTTCAAAACTATCCATATCGGATAATCCTGAGACACGCCTGAGAGAATAAGGCAACGCATGTGGGGTGAAGGGTATTTTGCTGTCATACTTTCGCGCCAGTTATATTCTCTCTTGTTTCTGTTGCCTTTGCTAATGCGGTGGGTGTGGCTGGTAGCCTGGATTTCTGTTTGAAAAAGCGAGTCCGCGTCTATTTAATGAAGTGCCGTCGCCGCCATCGTCTGCCTTGGGCAGTCGTTGTTTTTGTTTACCACAAGCTAGTGTGAATTTTCACATGTTTCGAATGCACGAGCTTGAATTGTTTTCCCTAGACAGTGCCTGGCACACATTTTTTATTTCCACTTTTTGTTACTCTAACAGGCACATAGGGGCGCATTACTTATGAATAGGAAACACCTCCTTACTTTGATTAAGAAGCGAAGCCTCATAAAAATATAAAATATTGCAATTGATTGGCGCACATGCTGGCCGTGTTAAAAAATTACAATTTAGGTACTAGGTCCCAGAGGATGACGGAAAATTATATTTCAAATATCCAAGTCTCCAGGGGTATCAAAAATTCGTAATGTCTCATAACAGAATACCAAGAAACGAGTCTGGAAATTGCTTGAATACTTGTATGGTTTCTTAAGAGGCATTGCATTTTGTTAAAACTCTTTGAAGGGGCTCAAGGACATACAAGTATTAGATGTGTGTAAGTGAATGTGACATCCCCTACTCATGAAGTTTATAATTTCTGCAACGGCATGATCTACCATGTCCGTACTGCTTGTAGGATCTCTCTATTATAAGATGTAAAGCAAGCCATATCGCAACTAAAGTGAAATTTTACTTGTATTATATTTTTCTGAGTGTACTTACAGAAACTTTCACCACACATGTGCGTTCACACCACACCAATTCCAAACAATCTTTGTGTGTTATAATCTGTAATGAAGAGCAAACAAATATATTTAATATGCTGACACATAATTGATGCTTCGCAGCACTTAAAAACTAGCTGTGGATGAAGTTGAGCACTAAATTAAAAGCAGCTAAAAATGTAAAATTCCAAATTAATCCACTCAAGAAGCCCTCTTCGCCGGGAGAGGGTCGTGGGCCTGTCATAAAAATGTTCTTAAAAAGTTGCGCCTGCAAAGAAATGAAATGTTTTGGCATCTGTTTCCATTTAAGAAGTGTAATGAACTTGGAGCCAGCAAGCACTAAGACGAGGCAATCCGAGAGGAGAAAACGCGACGGCCACTAGATATTAGAGTTAGGTCGACTGAGCTGATATTTTATACGCTTATAGAACTTTTAACTAAGTGAAAATTAATAGCTCGACAATGCTCATTCATACGCACACGCACACGCACGATTCGACATCAAGCCCGAAACTTTCACTTTAATTCGGTGCAGTCAGAAACTTGAAATGACTTTTGAACTGTGAACCGAACACAACAGAACAGTACGAGGCTGAATGAATCGAAACCAAAACAAACTGACAGTGCCACTGCAACATGGATTGCTTGTCTTGAGGGTCGTCGGCGCGTAGTCGTCGCATCATAAATATTTGAAACGTGTCGCTTGCCTTAGTTTCCAGCTGTCTGTAACTGACACAGCCTGAGGGTTTCCTCTGCCTCTGCCTCTCCCTCCGCCTGCATGTGTCATGCAACTCACAAATTCCACAGCAATTTGTGGTGGCGCACATAAGGGGGGCAACAAAAAAAGCAACAGAAACAGAAAAACTCAACACAACAAACAACATTTTGACACACTTAAGTGTTAGACAGCCCTCGCCCTCGTGTTTCGCGAACCAGCATCATCCTCCATCTTCATCTCTCTGGCGAACACACCATTCGGAGTGCGTTGAGAAATGTCAGTCGGCGGCCTGTGACGATAAATTTTGAAATTATGAACATAATTCTTCATTAGCGTGCATCGATAATGGGCCGATGTCGGCGAAGATGGAACGGCGGTGCCGGCCTCTCATGCGCTTTTGCAGAGAATCGGATGAGTGAAAAGTGAAATGCAGCCCATTCCCCTGCCCACACACTCAACTTCCCTTTACTTTCGTTGCACATAGGCTTAACGCCTCCTAGTGATAAATTGGCGACATTACGTGGCGTAAATTTTCGAATTTGGCGTGTAGGCGTCAAAATGTTGAGGTCGCTGCGACGATGTCCGAGCCAGTCTAAAGCTCAGCTCAAAAGCATTTGAAGAATGCCCCCAACCCACAACCACTAGCAATCAATCGCATGGCCAACAAAGCTGACCCGTTTGAAACCCAATACGCAAACAGCAAACAAACACACACACACACACACACACCCACAGGCAAAGTTGCGTTTGTTTGGCATTAAAATTGAAATAACGTGATTTTTGTGGTTCAGTGGCGACAACGACAGCGACAAGTATATGAGAAAGCTCGTGGTCAGTTAAACACTGACATTGCACACACAAACACATATTCCTACAAATATATAATACATACTATATACATATACATATGTACATATTTACATACGCTACACAGATTTTTCCGACTATTGTTTTGCGGTTTTGTGCAGATTTTGGTTTTCTGTTTCATTGCGTTGCGTGCTTAAAAGGCTTGAACGCGTTTGTTGTTGACGTAACTAGTATCTCTATCGTTCCCATAAATATATACAAACATACACATATGTACAAGTACTATATGTGTAGGAAAGAATGTATGAGTCTCGCAGGTGTGGCTGCACAAAGATACCAGCTTGTTAAGCTCTCGTCTCCATTATATGATTCTCTACTGGCCATCAGATTATACTTGTATGATTCATACTACAACGGTCTGATCCAATTTTCACAGAAGGCAACAAATTTATATATGTTATACAATTTATTTCACTTTTCTTGAAGACTTATTCGACTGTATTCACTTATTCACTACGCACCCCGCTAATGACTGTCATTAAAATTAAAATTGTGTATTTGAAGCCGCAATTTCACAATTTCCTTTCTCTAAATTATTAAAATATAAAAAGTCTACGGATTTATGGGGAAAATATAATTTAGATCAATCGTTTGCCACGATACAAGCGCGTTAATTTATAATCAGGAAAAGGAGATATCAGAATTGAAACGACTGGTCAGGGAATTTTGACAGCCCCGCTCGCTTTGATACGCCACTTGCCGATAGGCCTAAAACGCAAGCATATTCACACGATCACTCGTGAGGAAAACTCCTCCTCCCAATGTTTCTCTGTTAGGTAAGACATATGTCCATACAAATCTCATGTATTTGCACTAAAAGTTGTTAGGGTATTGTGAAGTTTCATTTTCATTTCTGCTTTTCATAAAATCATAACATTAATGATTGATTTAAATTTTTTTAAGTTTCTTAATAGCTTTCTCTCCTAAAAAGCTTTCAATTAGATGTAAGTACATAGTCTTAGAATAGTGGGCTCACGTCATGAAGATACTACATTTAGTATGCTTAGCATATCGAATAGACTTCGTTCGGCGTGTTATTTACTTTGGGGTAGAGAGTCTACAAATTTTAAAGCTTATCTGTCACCTTGAAGGCAAGCACTTCATAACACAAATTCAAAAACGGACAGGTGAGGTAGTCGAGTCCGAGTACACAGTGAGCAGAATCAATTCCTAGCTCGTGGAAGTGCCCATGGGAAGCAAAACACACAGATCTGGACTCACGTACGTCGCAAACAGGGACACGTACGCAATTAATTGCAGAATTATTACAAATTTCATTACATGCTAAAATATGCAAATTGTTTGAGTAAAGCGTCGGTATGGCAGCCATTGCTCTGCCCTGGTGCTCGACTAGGGGAGGGAGGGGCGTTCCGTGCTTAAAACGCGCCATGCAATTAAATGCATTTGCATAATATGTAAATAAATAATGCAGCAGCCACACTGAGCGGAGGATTGCAGCACCAGGCGAAAATGTTGCTCCTCGCGTACAGTCCGTACAGTCCGATGGGGCAGCCAAAAAAGAATGCATTTAATTATCATTTTAATGTTTATGGAATTAGAAATGCATGTGAAAATTGTCTACTAAATGGCAAATTTACGAGGGGTGGTGGGGGCGCTGCAGCTGCGTCCTCATCGCACCGGCCCATCAAAGGGCATTAACAAACTACTACGCATAGACACATAAATGGAAACATTTTTGCACAGCTGGCAGCAGGCGGACGGTCGCGGGACACACCGGTGGCTCACAGTGGGTAAAAACTCACATAAAAATAGACTTACAAATTAGTTTCAGATACACAGTGGTGAGATTGCCAAAAACTAACACTGAATATTTCTATTAAAAAATATTTAAAAAAAGCAAAAACAACATTCTAATAATTAACCTTTTTTTGAGTCTTTACAAGCTATTTCATTCTGCGTTTAACAACGTCTCTGACTTCTGTGAATCGGGGCAAATATTCTTGTTGTATTCTTTTTCTACACCGCCAGCTTGGTTAGTCGACAATAAATTTTAGTCACATATGTATATAAATACAGTATAGCTATTTCGCCATCAACCAGTTTTCAAACTCAAACATACATATTTCTGAATGTAATATTTATTATCGTTTTCCGTTAAATCTGGTTTTTTTTACACGATAAACATCGAGCCGGTTCAGGTAAAAATTTAATTGAATATTCAATTCTTAAAAATGTTCAAATAAATTTGCCAATTTTGTGACAGGAAATATTTACAAAATGAAATAACTTTTTTCAAAAAGGCCTATTTTAAAGATCGAAACAGATTTTAATACCTTTAAAATACTATTTTAAATTTGTTTTTGTGCTTGAATTTATGAAAGCGAATGGCGTTAATGGGTTAAAGAGCAATTTTGGCTTCAGAAAAATGAGCGAATTTCGACTGCTTTCAGACCACTGTGGCTTAGTGGCATTCATTGGCAGAAAGAATGCCAGGGTTATGGTGGTGGTGGTGGTGGTTGTGGTGGTAGCTGCTGGCCGGTTTGTCAGTTGCAGTTTGCAGTTTCGTCGGACAAAATATTTGTTGTTGTGGAAATACTCGAAACCATTTTAAAAGCAAAAGTCCATTACATCAAATTTGCTGCTGTTGCCTGCTGACATTTGCTATTGTTATTGTAATTGCGTCTGTTTGTAGTTTGTTTTCGCAATTGTTTTCCGCGGACATACAGCCGCTCGCCCTCTGCTGGCACAAATATTGTATGTCTACAAAATATTTGGGTTAAAATTTGCCAACACACACATAACACCATTTTTTTTTTTTGCATGATTGCACTCACATTTTTGCACACAACCACACTTCCATAGCAGAACTGGCAGTTGAGTGTCAGTTGAGTAACGTGTGGCATGAAGTGCTGCCGACGAGGCGCGACGCGACGCGACGCAACGATAACGACGAGCCATAGTTGCGGGCTGCAGCATGTTGCAATCGAATTGTTTGTACAATAATTGTTTTCGCTGCTTTATTTCCACCGATTGTTTTGCCGTGGCAGGGGCAACACAAAACGCACCTTGCGGTTTCTGTGGTCGCCAGGGGAATTGGGCTGTGAAAGCTGCAGCTGCAAAGGCGGCGGGAGTGGGAAGTGCGTTGTGGGTTGTGGGCTGCACACGTGTAGTAGGTTCCCGAGTGGACTCGAGCATTATGACGGCTCGTTTGAGAAAACCAGTTAACAGTTTACCCATTGACTTGACTTGTCTCTAAAAGCAGTCAGTCAAGTTTTCGAAAAGTGGCCTTTTTTGCTAATCATAGAGATCTTGATTGATAATTTTGATTAATTTTCATTCACTCCCCATACTTTAGCTATGCTCACACATTAGCCAGCTTAAATTGTCCAAATTGCCGTTCATTTTGAGCATTTCAAACGATTTGCACATGCGCGTGAACTCCCGCAATTATAGCATTTAGCACGCATTTCAATTCGCAACTCATTTATCATGGCGATGGCAGCTCGAAATTATATATT